CAACAAGTTTTGTACCAATTCTTTTATTCTACACAAACGTTATCACGAGTTCAACAAGTTTTGGTCTCTATGTTTTGTACCGAGTCTTTTATTCTACACAGACGTTATCACGAATTCAACAAGTTTTGGTCTCTATGTTTTGTACCGAGTCTTTTATTCTACACAGACGTTATCATAAATTCAACAAGTTTTGGTCTCTGTGTTTTGTACCGAGTATTTTATTCTACACAAACGTTATCACGAGTTCAACAAGTTTTGGTCTCTATGTTTTGTACCGAATATTTTATTCTACACAGCTTTTTGGTTGTTTCAGTTAAGAAGTTTGCTATCTTTTTTTTCTCTTCTTTTAGGCCAATCAGATTGACGATTCTAACTACGTGATTAGGTCTCTTAGGAAAATAACAGATGTTTCAGACGCAGATGATACAGCAAGAATTTAGAGGACCGTCAGCTTTTTATTTTCTTCTCTACTGGGGATTTAAAGGACTGTTAGTTTTATCTACTGCAATCATTCACTGGACTGTCAGTTTTTTTGTTGGTTTTTGTACTGTAAGGATTTAAAGGACTGTGGTTTTTATGGACTACAAGCTTTCAGAGGACTGTCAGTTTTTTAATACCTTGAAATGATTTTGAAGGCTGACAGTGTTTAATGTGCTTCAAATACTTAGAGGACTGTAGTTTCTATCTGCATTGCAAAGAGTTAGAGGACTGCCAGTTGTTATTTCTTACTTCATGCAAGGATTTAGAGGACTGTAATGTCAGTTTTTTATGTACTTCAAGGACTTAGAGGACCGTGCTGTCACTTTTTATGTACTTCAAGGACTTAGAGGACTGTACTGTCAGTTTTTATGTACTTCAAGGATTTAGAGGACTGTACTGTCACTTTTTATGTACTTCAAGGACTTAGAGGACTGTACTGTCACTTTTTATGCACTTCAAGGACTTAGAGGACTGTACTGTCACTTTTTATGTACTGCAAGGACTTAAAGCAAAGAAATGGAAGAATTTAAAGGACTGTAGTATCAATCTTTTATGTAATGCAAGGTTTTAAGGCAATGTGCTGTCAGTTTTATGTACCTTAAGGATAAAAGGAACTAAAGGTTTTCTTGAACTGTTCACACTATAGTCAGTAAAATTCTTCAAGAAACTTGTACGCAAATATTATCTGTTCTGTTAAGAACAAGAAGTTCTACTAACTGAAGTAACACCGTAAAGTGACCTTAGAAGAAGTTCTACTAACTGAAGCGACACCATAAACTGACTTTAGAAGAAGTTCTACTAACTGAAGGGACACCATAAATTGACTTTAGAAGAAGTTCTACTAACTGAAGTGACACCATGAACTGACTTTAGAAGAAGTTATACTAACTGAAGTGACACCATAAACTGACTTTATAAGAAGTTCTACTAACGCAAGTGACACCATAAACTGACTTTAGAAGAAGTTCTACTAACTGAAGGGACACCATAAATTGACTTTAGAAGAAGTTCGACTAACTGAAGCGACACCATGAACTGACTTTAGAAGACGTTCTACTAACTGAAGTGACACCATAAACTGACTTTAGAAGAAGTTCTACTAACTGAAGTGACACCATAAACTGACTTTACGTAAATGATTGTTCCTACTTCTACGTATTTGGATCTTAGTGACGACAGTGCCTCTGTCTTTGTGAATGCGTTTTTCTTTAGATAAATGGCTGTTCCGGAACTCTATTTTTTTTTGTCTTGTTATACATGAAAAACATTTTGACATATCTAAATATACGAATATTCTTCCGAAGTTATAAATAAAGATATAAATTGTGTTTCTTTTTGTAGAACAAGGTGGTTTACATAGAATAAAACTTCACAAAATACCTCATAATAATCGTAATGATTAATTAAGAAACAAACGTTTATATATTCATTCAAACTTTGCGTACACTGGACTAGTTATCGGCTGCTCTCCATGTATATTTCGGTAGCTGACAAAAGTTTTTTTTTCGTTATTTGACTGATACAGCTGAAAGAAAACACTGAAGAGTGAAAAGAAAAGCAGAAAACACACAAGTCGAAAGTTAATCCTAATTGAATCTTAATGCTATAGCATTACAAGAATCACTGAATACACACAGAAAAAAAGGATCTTTCTCCATTGGTTTTTCCAGATGAGCACGCGATAAGAACAAGTAAACACAGACGAAACAAAGATTATTTCTGTAGTATTAAGAATAAAATAATACTAACTAAAGACATCCAATTGGAATTATAATAACTTCTTATTCACGTGATTACAAAGTTGAGTCATATCAGCCTAATCATTTCCAGTTTCGTATGTGTATGACTTTGGTTTGTTTTAAAGGTGATATAATTTGAATCGCGTTTTTTTTTTTCCATTGTTACACAACTTTTCTTTAACAATACATAAACGAAGATAAAAAAACAACAACATCATATTCACTGATTGATTATAATTAAATACATTTTAATTGCATTTCATTCCAAGGTTTTAACTGTAAATCTCCAGACAATGGTGAATTTGATAACCTTTTG